ACATGGCTCCTCTCCTCAAACTTCTCTCTGGCTCACAGAAATCACTGTAAAACCTTTTTCACACTGGACTGGGACTGGTCAGTCACATGGAAAGGTGCAGGGAAATGCACCATGAGCTCTGCATGTCCCAGGTGTCCTGGCATGTCCAGCTGGAGGTGGTGGCAGCTGGGAAGGGAGGAGACAGACCCCAGAAAATCTTGCCCAGTCTCCTCTCCACACCATGGAATGACCACAGGGTTCAGTCCCGTGGAGTTCTTGGAGCAGAAGCTTTGAGTTCCCATCCCCTTGACATCCCTTCTACTGCCTATTTATCCGTCTGAAAAAATTTCTTCCCTAATTAACACCAAAAACTCCCTGGGTTTGAGATTTCATATGTGGTTGAAGCTCATACAGGTCCATTTTAGACAATATTATTTCATACTCTGTCCCCTTGAACTCTGATAAAGAGATGCTGCTACGGAAAGCAGGGTCAAAATGACCCAAGAATTCTTTCAGAAAAAGGAAAAAGTTATTGGCAAATGTCACACAAAATCAGTAAAATGAATATGTATGAACCTATTGTAAAATTGCATGGATATATATTTGAGAGGGAAATAAAAAAGGATCTGGATTTCCCAAAGGCACACATGTCCTATTAAGAGAAATGATTCCCATACGCGTCCAGGGCTGTAATAAACGTATCAGCTTTACAACTTTCAAACAGTTGCAGAGTTTGTTTGTTTCCGCAAATCATCGGATTCTTCAGGGAGCTCTACTCACTCCCCACTCCCCACAGCCCGGGGGCTCTAAGGGGGGTGTCCCAAGGGCAGGGGGCTGACGGTGGGCCCAGAGCAAAGAGCAGCCGAGAGAGGCGGTGACCATTGCAATGCGAGGCAGCTTTTATTGCCGTGCGGGGCAGGGGGGCGGCAGCGGAGCGTGACCCCGGCCGAGTGCTCCCCGCGTGTCCTGGGGTTGGGGGGGACACGGGCAGAGCAGGAGCCGAGCTGGTGCCATGCCGGGAGCCGGCAGCGATCGCTGCAGGGCTCTGAGAGTGGCCGGGGGATGTCTGTCTGTGTGTCGGTCTGTCTGTCTGTCGGTGTGTCCGTGCTTTGGGCCTCGGCGTGCGGGGATGGGCCGGGGGGGTTCCTGGAGCTCTTCTGGATCAGGGATGGCGCTGGCGCTTATCAGGGTTCGCAGCTTCTGGAGCTGCTGTAGCTGTGCCCAAAACCTCCGAATCCCGCATAACCTCTGAATCCCCCAAAGCCCCTGAAGGTTTGTGTTAGGGTTAGTGTTAGTGTTAGGGTTAGGGTTAGGGTCAGGGTTAGGGTTAGGGTTGCGTTAGGCGGTTCTGGAGGACATTGTGTTTTCCATGTCCCAGTTTCCCTTGATGGCCCCACAGAGGAGGAATTTCCCCCTAGTGTAACCCCAATCTCCCTGGGAATTTGGAGGTCAGTGGGACAGGGTCCACATCCCTCATGGCACAATGGACTCCACTGGTGGAGCTGAAAGGTCCCTGTTGATTATCCAGCCCTGTTTCTGCAAGCTGGGTCCTGCTTGAGCCTTCCTGGAGGCAAGGGTGTGCGTTTTCCAGGTGGCCCCAAGATCTGACCCAGGGAGTGTTGGTTGAGCCTGCCAGAGCCAGACTGGCTTTGGCCATGGACTACGTCAGGCCAAGCTGAACCCGCTTGCCTCAGTGGTACAGGGGGCTGTGGCTCAGGGTGGCCGCCCTGGGCACAGCCGTGTCCCAAAGGATGCTCGGGATTCTTTGTAAGCAAAGCGAGGGATTAGGGACAGAGTAGGGTCTGTCACCTAATAATGGGCCACAGGCGTTCCTCCCATCACCTCCCATTGGTCCACGGCACGTTTCCACACCAATCTCCCTGATGTTGAGGTGTATAATTGTATTGCATCATTATCTCTTTGATGAACTTGTCAGCGTGAATTCCTAATTACCTGGTTTTGTTTTGCCACCGCTCCCTTTCGTGATGCCCCCAGGCCCTTTGGGAGATGTATAAAAGGTCCAGAGGTTCCACGGAGCTCTATCCACCTTCCACCGCTTGACTCGCCTTATCACCTTGGTAAGTCCAAGCCTTCCCTCGTCTTTCCTTCTTCATCCCTGGCTTTCTCAGGGAAGCTTTGGGGCTTTCTGGAGGAACCTTTGGCTGTGGGCTCCTCTTGCTCTCCTAGAGCAGAGTTGGGATGGTTGGGGTTCTACCAGGGGACCAAGGAAAGATTGAGGACTTTCTTCATTTGGATGTCAAAGTCTTCTTAATTCCCATGGGCAAGCAAGACTCAGGGATGGTGAGGGCAGGAGGGGATGTGAGGAGGAATTTCAAGGGAATGGGACTTGGATTAGAACGCCTGGGATGAGCCAGAGTGAGTCCTGGAATAGAGATGAGAGCAGCTGAGTTTTAGGTCGAGTCCTTGGTGTGAGCCGTATCCATGCCTTGTCTTGCAGCTCTAGCCACCAAACCGAAAGATGTCCTGCTCCAGCCTGTGCGTCCCCAGCTGCGGGGTGGCCACCCCGGCCCCTCTGGCTGACACCTGCAACGAGCCCTGCGTGCGGCAGTGCCCCGACTCCACGGTGGTCATCCAGCCCCCGGCCTCAGTGATCACCTTCCCCGGACCCATCCTCAGCTCCTTCCCTCAGCAGAGCGCCGTGGGCTCAGCCGGAGCTCCCTACGTGGGAGCCGGCTCCGGGGGCGCCTTTGGGAGCCGTGGGGGCTATGGGGGCTATGGGGGCTACGGGGCCCTTGGGGGCTATGGAGGTTATGGAGGCTGGGGCTATGGAAGCCTTGGTCTCTATGGGGGTTGGGGCTATGGAGGCCGTGGAGGCTACGGCGGTTGGGGATGCGGAGGCTACGGAGGCTGGGGCTATGGAGGCCTTGGTAACTGCGGCTACGGCGGCTGGAGCAGCGGCCACCGCTACCTCAATGGCAACTGCGGACCCTGCTAAGCCCCAGCCCCAGCGCGGCCTCAGACCAAGAAGAGCGCCAGGAGAAACACTGGTGCATCCCGACCCGACGCTCTGTGGACCAAAATTCCTTGTGCCTGGCCGGGCTCTGCAGCTCGGGAGCCTGGTGCCAGCTTGGGAAGCAGCTGTGCCTTGTCCCTGCCCTGCTTGAGCATCTCCGAGGGGCTCCTGGTGCCCCGGTGGTCCCAGAGCCTCTCCAGGGGCTGCTTCTGCTGACCTGGCTGTGCCCAGGGCCTGGCCATGGGATGCCCTTGGCCATGACCCTGCTTTGCTGCCCAGTTCATCCTGCCCTCCCCCTGCAATAAAAGCTGTCTTGCATTGAAATGTTGACTCCTCGTTTTCCTTCTTCTTGCCTTTTCCCACTGCCCAATCTCTTGGGTGTCTGCTGTGCTGTTGCAATGCCCCTGGGCAGTGCCCTGGGGCCCGGGCCCAGCTGGCTCTCTGTGTCCCAGCTGGTGATTTCCAACCCCGCTGGCTCTGGGGAACTCATCTCCCCCAGCTCCCCATGCTCTCCCAGCAGCAGGAAACTCAGGACATCTCCAGATCCCTCACTGAGGATGGGAAAGGGCCACGAGGGCCTTGCAGAAGGTCTTCCAAATCCTCAGCCCAAGCAGCAAAGCTGACATCACCTCTGGGACTGGGCTGTCTTGGTTGAGATGGTCAAACACAAATCACTACTCCATTTTCAGAAGTCTTCAAACCATTCTTATTGCACCATGCATGCTTTTATGCATTCTTAGAAAACTCCTAAATTTACACTGATTGGTCACAAGAGACAAACAAAGTGCTCCTTGGAATTGGCAGTTGTAGGTTTCTCTTATTTCCGCTTCTTTCTTTTTAAGTTTCTATGTCCAGGACCTTGGTAGGAAATTCCTTCAGGGGTGAACATGGCTCCTCTCCTCAAACTTCTCTCTGGCTCACAGAAATCACTGTAAAACCTTTTCCACACTGGACTGGGACTGGTCAGTCACATGGAAAGGTGCAGGGAAATGCACCATGAGCTCTGCATGTCCCAGGTGTCCTGGCATGTCCAGCTGGAGGTGGTGGCAGCTGGGAAGGGAGGAGACAGACCCCAGAAAATCTTGCCCAGTCTCCTCTCCACACCATGGAATGACCACAGGGTTCAGTCCCGTGGAGTTCTTGGAGCAGAAGCTTTGAGTTCCCATCCCCTTGACATCCCTTCTACTGCCTATTTATCCGTCTGAAAAAATTTCTTCCCTAATTAACACCAAAAACTCCCTGGGTTTGAGATTTCATATGTGGTTGAAGCTCATACAGGTCCATTTTAGACAATATTATTTCATACTCTGTCCCCTTGAACTCTGATAAAGAGATGCTGCTACGGAAAGCAGGGTCAAAATGACCCAAGAATTCTTTCAGAAAAAGGAAAAAGTTATTGGCAAATGTCACACAAAATCAGTAAAATGAATATGTATGAACCTATTGTAAAATTGCATGGATATATATTTGAGAGGGAAATAAAAAAGGATCTGGATTTCCCAAAGGCACACATGTCCTATTACGAGAAATGATTCCCATACGCGTCCAGGGCTGTAATAAACGTATCAGCTTTACAACTTTCAAACAGTTGCAGAGTTTGTTTGTTTCCGCAAATCATCGGATCCCTCAGGGAGCTCTACTCACTCCCCACTCCCCAGGGCCCGGGGGCTCTAAGGGGGGTGTCCCAAGGGCAGGGGGCTGACGGTGGGCCCAGAGCAAAGAGCAGCCGAGAGAGGCGGTGACCATTGCAATGCGAGGCAGCTTTTATTGCCGTGCGGGGCAGGGGGGCGGCAGCGGAGCGTGACCCCGGCCGAGTGCTCCCCGCGTGTCCTGGGGTTGGGGGGACACGGGCAGAGCAGGAGCCGAGCTGGTGCCATGCCGGGAGCGGGCAGCGATCGCTGCAGGGCTCTGAGAGTGGCCGGGGGATGTCTGTCTGTGTGTCGGTCTGTCTGTCTGTCGGTGTGTCCGTGCTTTGGGCCTCGGCGTGCGGGGATGGGCCGCAGGCATTCCTGGAGCTCTTCTGGATCAGGGATGGCGCTGGCGCTTATCAGGGTTCGCAGCTTCTGGAGCTGCTGTAGCTGTGCCCAAAACCTCCGAATCCCGCATAACCTCTGAATCCCCCAAAGCCCCTGAAGGTTTGTGTTAGGGTTAGTGTTAGGGTTAGGGTTAGGGTTAGGGTTAGGGTTAGGGTTGCGTTAGGCGGTTCTGGAGGACATTGTGTTTTCCATGTCCCAGTTTCCCTTGATGGCCCCACAGAGGAGGAATTTCCCCCTAGTGTAACCCCAATCTCCCTGGGAATTTGGAGGTCAGTGGGACAGGGTCCACATCCCTCATGGCACAATGGACTCCACTGGTGGAGCTGAAAGGTCCCTGTTGATTATCCAGCCCTGTTTCTGCAAGCTGGGTCCTGCTTGAGCCTTCCTGGAGGCAAGGGTGTGCGTTTTCCAGGTGGCCCCAAGATCTGACCCAGGGAGTGTTGGTTGAGCCTGCCAGAGCCAGACTGGCTTTGGCCATGGACTACGTCAGGCCAAGCTGAACCCGCTTGCCTCAGTGGTACAGGGGGCTGTGGCTCAGGGTGGCCGCCCTGGGCACAGCCGTGTCCCAAAGGATGCTCGGGATTCTTTGTAAGCAAAGCGAGGGATTAGGGACAGAGCAGGGTCTGTCACCTAATAATGGGCCACAGGCGTTCCTCCCATCACCTCCCATTGGTCCACGGCACGTTTCCACAGCAATCTCCCTGATGTTGAGGTGTATAATTGTATTGCATCATTATCTCTTTGATGAACTTGTCAGCGTGAATTCCTAATTACCTGTTTTTTTTGCCACCGCTCCCTTTCGTGATGCCCCCAGGCCCTTTGGGAGATGTATAAAAGGTCCAGAGGTTCCACAGAGCTCTATCCACCTTCCACCACTTGACTCGCCTTATCACCTTGGTAAGTCCAAGCCTTCCCTCGTCTTTCCTTCTTCATCCCTGGCTTTCTCAGGGAAGCTCTGGGGCTTTCTGGAGGAACCTTTGGCTGTGGGTTCCTCTTGCTCTCCTAGAGCAGAGTTGGGATGGTTGGGGTTCTACCAGGGGACCAAGGAAAGATTGAGGACTTTCTTCATTTGGATGTCAAAGTCTTCTTAATTCCCATGGGCAAGTAAGACTCAGGGATGGTGAGGGCAGAAGGGGATGTGAGGAGGAATTTCAAGGGAATGGGACTTGGATTAGAACGCCTGGGATGAGCCAGAGTGAGTCCTGGAATAGAGATGAGAGCAGCTGAGTTTTAGGTCGAGTCCTTGTTGTGAGCCGTATCCGTGCCTTGTCTTGCAGCTCTACCCACCAAACCGAAAGATGTCCTGCTCCAGCCTGTGCGTCCCCAGCTGCGGGGTGGCCACCCCGGCCCCTCTGGCTGACACCTGCAACGAGCCCTGCGTGCGGCAGTGCCCCGACTCCACGGTGGTCATCCAGCCCCCGGCCTCAGTGATCACCTTCCCCGGGCCCATCCTCAGCTCCTTCCCGCAGCAGAGCGCCGTGGGCTCAGCCGGAGCTCCCTACGTGGGAGCCGGCTCCGGGGGTGCCTTTGGGAGCCGTGGGGGCTATGGGGGCTATGGGGGCTACGGGGCCCTTGGGGGCTATGGAGGTTATGGAGGCTGGGGCTATGGAAGCCGTGGTCTCTATGGGGGTTGGGGCTATGGAGGCCGTGGAGGCTACGGCGGTTGGGGATGCGGAGGCTACGGAGGCTGGGGCTATGGAGGCCTTGGTAACTGCGGCTACGGCGGCTGGAGCAGCGGCCACCGCTACCTCAATGGCAACTGCGGGCCCTGTTAAGCCCCAGCCCCAGCGCGGCCTCAGACCAAGAAGAGCTCCAGGAGAAACCCCGGCACATCCCGACCCGACGCTCTGTGGACCAAAATTCCTTGGACATGGCCGGGCTCTGCAGCTCGGGAGCCTGGTGCCAGCTTGGGAAGCAGCTCTGCCTTGTCCCTGCCCTGCCTGAGCATCTCCGAGGGGCTCCTGGTGCCCCGGTGGTCCCAGAGCCTCTCCTGGGGCTGCTCCTGCTGACCTGGCTGTGCCCAGGGCCAGGCCATGGGATGCCCTTGGCCATGATCCTGCTCTGCTGCCCAGCCCCTCCTGCCCTCCCCCTGCAATAAAAGCTGTCTTGCATTGAAATCTTGCCTCCTGGTTTTCCTTCATCTTGCCTTTTTCCTGCTCCCCAATCTCTTGGGTTTCTGCTGGGCTGCTGCAATGCCCCTGGGCAGTGCCCTGGAGCCCAGGCCCAGCTGCCCTGTGTGTCCCAGCTGGGGACATCCAACCCCCAGTCCGCACAGCCTTGGGGATCCAAGCATCCCTCGAGGGGTGTCCCAAGGGCAAGGGGCTGGTGGTGGGTTTAGGGTAAGGCTTAGGATATGTCTTTGAGTGGGAAATAAAAAAGGATCTGGAGATCCCAGAGGTACATGTGTCCTATTGAGTGAAACGATTCCCACATGCCTCCAGTGCTGTAATAAACATACCAGCTTTACCACTTTCAAAAAGTTGTAGAGTTTGATTATTTCTGCAAATCACCTGGTCCCTCGCAGGGCTCCACTCGTCCCCCAATTCCCACGTCCCTGGGACTCCAGGCATCCCTCAATGGGTGTCCCAAGGGCAGGGGGCTGGTGGTGGGGTTAGGGTAAGCCTTAGGATATGTATTTGAAAGGGAAATAAAAAAGGATCTGGAATTCCCAGAGGCACACATGTCCTATTGAGACAAATTACTCCCACATGCCTCCAGCGCTGTAATAAACATATAGGCATTTTTGCAACTTTCAAAAAGTTGTAGAGTTTGATTATTTCTGCAAGTCACTGGGTACCTTGCGGGGCTACACTCACTCCCCATTCCCCACTGTTCTGGGGCTCCAGGCATCCCTCGAGGGGCTCTACTTGCTCCCCAAATCCCCACTGCCCTGGGGCTCCAAGCATCCCTCAGGGGGTGTCCCAAGAGCAGGGGGCTGGCAGTGGGCCCAGGGCTCCTTTGGGGCTGCAAAGAGGAGTCCAGAACAGGCAGGAGCCGGGCAGGGATGGGCAGAGACCCCATTCCAGGGGCTGGGCAGGGTCCGGCTCGGGGGACTCTGCTGCGGGGCTGGGGTGGCCAAGAAGATGCAGGAGGAGCCCGGGCAGCTGCCGGGGCTTCTCATCTGCCGTGTCCAAGCGGGACTGCCTGAACCCTCCGCGAACCCTCCCGGAACCCTCCCGGGATCCTCCCGGAACCCTCTGGGCCGGGCTTGGCAGCGGGTACGGAGCAAAGAGCAGCCGAGAGAGGCGGTGAACATTGCAATGCGAGGCAGCTTTTATTGTCGTGCAAGGCAGGGGGGTGGCAGTGGAACGGGACCCCAGCCGAGCGCTCCCTGAGTGTCCCAGGGTGGGGACACGGGCAGGAACCGAGCTGGAGCCGCGCCGGGAGTGGGCAGTGATCGCTGCAGGGCTCCAAGAGCGGCCGGGGGATGTCTGTCTCTCTGTCTGTCAGTCTGTCGGTGTGTCTTTTCTTTGGGCCTTGGCATGCGGGGATGGGCTGTGCGCGTTTCTGGAGCTCTTCTGGATCAGGGATGGCGCTGGCGCTTAGCAGGGCCCGCAGCCACTGGAGCCGCCGCAGCTGCCCCCAAAACCTCCGAATCCTCCATAACCTCCAAGTCCTCCAAAGCCACCGGAGCCCCCAGAGCCCCCACGGCGTCCGGAGGAGCCGCCGAGGCCGCCTCCAATGAAGGGAACTCCGGCCGAGCCCACGGAGCTCTGCTGCGGGAAGGAGCTGAGGATGGGCCCGGGGAAGGTGACCACCGAGGCCGGGGGCTGGATGACCACCGTGGAGTCGGGGCACTGCCTCACGCAGGGCTGGTTGCTGGTGTCAGCCAGAGGGGCCGGGGTGGCCACGCCGCAGGTGGGGACACAGCAGGACATCCTTGAGACTTGGAAAGGTTTCTGGAAAAAAGAGGCAAAGGTGTGAGGGAGGAATTGCATGGAAGGAGACAGAGAGTGATCCCCAAGAGGCTTCGGAGAGCTGCTCTTACCTGGGTGATGAGGAGAGTCAAGTGGAGAAGTGCGGATGGAGCTGTGCAAGGAGCTCGGCCCTTTTATACACCCCAGAGAGCCCCGGGCATTGTCTGGGGGTGCGGACAGACCCCCCCTCCAGTAATTAGAAATTCACACTGAGACGCTCCATAAAGTGAAGGGACGCTGAAAAATTCTGTCATCACCCCCCCTTCATTGTGGACATTGGTGTGGAAAGGAGTGGACAGGAGAGAGGCGCTTGCCAGGTCAGCCATGACCCATCATTACATGACAGACAGGGTGCTACTGGAGTTCACTCAGCTCACAGCCCCAATAAACCCGGGTTTGTCCCTAATTCCTCACTTTGCTTACAAAGAATCTTTTGGGACACAGCTGAGCCCAGCCCGGCTGTGCTCCTGAGCCAGCTGTGCCCAGCTGGGCCTGTCCTGGGCCAGTCTGGCTCTGAGTGGATTGGCCAATATTCCCTGGGCCAGTCTGGCTCTGGGGGGCTTTGCCAACATCCCCTGGACCAGCCCTTGGGTCCAGCTGGTCAATGCAGAGGAGAGCTTGGCCAGGACCAAGGCTGGAGGGTCTGAGTTGTTCTGGATTGTCTCTCTGCTCTCCTGCTCCTCTCTGTTGGCCTCCCCTTACTCGTTTATGCCACTCCTGATCCCACCTGTGTCATTCCCACAACCGTGCCAGGATGGATCCTTAATGAAGCTTCATCTCACATGGGATCTCCCATTCTGCTTTTTGCACCATCATCAGTTGGATTGGGGACTTCACAATTCCTCCAGTGGCACAAAAATCTCTTAAGGATTCTCCCTCCAAGAGCCCCCCGTGCCCAGCCCTGTGCCCAGCCCTGTGCCGTGTGGGGTGACCCTCCTTGGGCAGGACGTGGCTGTTTGTCTGTCCATGGTCCCCCCAGCCGACCCCACTCCAGGACTCTGTTCCTGCGCCCTCCCTTGCCACGTTTGGCGTTTGGGATGTGCCCCAAGTGGGTGGGATGGCTTCTCCCTCCCGGCGTCCCTATTTAGCAGCCCGTAAAAAGGATTAATAACAGATTAAGTGCTGGCTGTGCCATTTCAAAATGCTCCTGAGTGATGCCCAAAATTCCCGTGCATAAGCAAAGAAGGGGATTAAGGACATGTCATGTCAGGGTTTATTGGGGCTCTGATCTTGGCTTCAGCAACAAATGATCTTACACACAGTGATTGGTCATGGCCTGTCCCTTCAGGGCCTGGTGGCTCTCCAGGGCACCTTTACTCGTTGTGGCCTCAATTAATACAGATGTAATTACCTCATGTTTCAATTTGTGTCATGAGGTTTGTCCGCTTGAATTCCTAATTACTGGGGGTTTGCCCCCACCCCCTGGACAATGCCCCAGGCACTCTGGGGTGTATAAAAGGTCCGAGAGCTCCACAGGGCTCCATCCCACTCTCCTCACTCGAATCTGCTCATTGATCGCTGTGGTGAGTGCGAGTCTTCCCTCTGTCCTCTTTTCCTCTTCTGCTCCTTCTGTGGGGAATCTCTGCCTGTGGAATTCCCAAGGAATCTCTGGTTCTGGATTCCCTGGGGAATCTCTGCCTGTGGAACTGCCAAGGAATCTCTGGCTGTGGATTCTGTGGGGAATCTCTGCCTGTGGATTTCCCTGGGGAATCTCTGGCTGTGGATTTCCCGGAGAATCTCTGCTCGTGAATTTCCCAGGGAATCTCTGCCTGTGGATTTCCCAAGGAATCTCTGTCCCCCAAGCTCCAGCAGCCATCCCGGGGCAGAGCAGGGTTGGGGTTCCACCAGCGGGCTCAAGGCCCCAGGGAGCATGGTAGTTGGGATGAGGGAGTTTTTCTTCATTCCCATGGGCAAGCAAGACTCAGGGATGGTGAGGGCAGCAGGGGATGTGAGCAGGAATTTGGAGGGAATAGGGCTTGGATCAGAATGCCTGGGATGAGCCAGAGTGAGTCCTGGCACACAGGCTCCAGGTGGGCGAGAGCAGCAGCTGGGCTTTGGGCCGAGTCCTTGGTGTGAGCTGTGTCCGTGTCTTGTCTTGCAGCTCTACCCACCAAACCGAAGGATGTCCTGCTCCAGCCTGTGCGTTCCCAGCTGCGGGGTGGCCACCCCGGCCCCTCTGGCTGACACCAGCAACGAGCCCTGCGTGCGGCAGTGCCCCGACTCCACGGTGGTCATCCAGCCCCCGGCCTCAGTGATCACCTTCCCCGGGCCCATCCTCAGCTCCTTCCCGCAGCAGAGCGTCGTGGGCTCGGCTGGAGCTCCCTACGTGGGAGCCGGCTCCGGGGGCGCCTTTGGGAGCCGTGGGGGCTCTGGGGGCTATGGGGGCTTTGGGGGTTATGGAGGTTTTGGGGGTTATGGCAGCTGTGGCCGTGGTTCCCGCTCCTTCGGGGGCTCCTGCGGGCCCTGCTAAAGCCCAAACCCCGACGGAGCTCAGCGCTGCCCCTGCCCGCCGGCTCCTCCAGCAGCCCCTGCTGCCTTGTGCCCCCTGAGCCAGGCTGAAGCTGCAGCCCCTGCTCAGGGCCGGCCCGGCAGCCCCGGGAGCTGCAGGGTCCCTTTCCCTGTGTGTGACCCTGCAGAGCCTCGGCCGGCGCCTTTGGCCTTGCCAGCGCTGCCCCCAAAAGCTGCTCCCCCTCTCTGCACCCCCAGGCAGCTGTGCCCAGCCTCGGCTCAGGCTCTGCCCTGCTCTGCCCAGCAGGGCGCCGCCCTGGCAAAGGACAATCTCTGGGGTGCAGCCCTGGGCTGCGCCTCGCTGCTGCTGCTGCTGCTGCTGCTGCTGCTGCTGCTGCCTTGGGATTTTCGTGTTTCCATCACGTTGTTGCTGGTTTGTCTCTCGCTGACACCATCTGTGGGTTTTTCATTCATAATAAAGAATCTGCATTGCACAAAATATCTTTTTTTGTAATGGATTCCTTCATCCTGGCTGCTAATGAGTCTCTAACTGAGGGATGGTGTGGGATATCTGATCATGGAATCACAGGAGGGTTTGGGTTGGAAGGGACCTTGAAACTCATCCTATTCTAACTCCCGCCGTGGGCAGGGACATTTTCCACTGTCCCAGGCTGCTCCAAGCTCTGTCCAACCTGGTCTTGGACCCTGCCAGTGATGGGGCAGCCCAAACTTCTCTAGGAAATCCGTCCCAGGCCCTCTTCATCCTCACAGGGAGGAATTCCTGGCCAATGTCCCACCTAAACCTCCTCTCCATCAGTCTGATGTCTGATGGCTTTGTCCTGGCACCCCATCCTTTGGGAATTTTCTCTCCCCATGTTTCTCATTGCCCCTACAGGTCCTGAAAGACCACGATTGGGTCACCCCAAAGCTTCTCCAGGCTGAACCATCCCAGTTCTCCCAGCAGAGCTGCTCCATCCCTCTGATCCCATCCTGGATCCTCCTCTGGGCTCTCTCCTCTCTCTGAGAGCGTTTTCAGAATGCTCCTGGAGCTCTGGCAGCCTCAGGAATGTGCCCATTCGTTGGGGAGCCTGGGCAGTGCCCAGCACTCTCTGGGGGTCCTAAAATCCGTCCTAAACCTCCCCTGGCACAGCTTCCTCCCATTCCCTGTGGAACCTAGGCAGTGCCCAGCACCCTCTGGGGGAAGAATTTCGTTAACATCCCACCCAAACCTCCCCTTTTTTTCTTTATTCTTTTTTTTTTTTTTTAATGTGATAGAGGAAAACACAAAATGCATTTCGGTCGAGAAAATTTATTTGGAAAGAGAAGCTTTCCTACAATTGTGGAACAAAACTGTACAGGACACAAAGAGCATCGTTCCAGGGGGTTCAGCGAGGCTCTGGCAAATCACCAGCATCCGAGTGAGGCCGCCTGTAAAAAACGGGGATTTTCCCTTTTTTTGGCAGCGTTGCCGTGTGCAATTCCGAGCATTTCAAGTCACCTCTCTAAGCTCAGTACCAGTAAAAAAAAATCCGCGATAAGCCAAAGCGCGGCGGGAGCAGAAGGCTGCGCCGCAAAGCTGCGGGAGAACAGCTCTAAACTAAGGGAAAAAAACCCGCAGGAATTTCACCCGGAATTTCCCTTTCCCCGGGCTCAGCACGTCCAGCGCTTCCCGGAGCGGTAGGAATTGCAGGGATGAGTCCATTGCGACGAGTAGCTGTAGGAATATTTGGGGGCGCAGCGCGGCTCCGCACGGGCCACCACCGGCGCTGCCACTTTGTCCCCCGCTGTCACGTCGGCGGCCACCGCGGCCTGGGGCTCGCCCAGGGTCACCTCCGAGGGTTCCGAGGCTCCCACGACGGTTTGCTGGGGGTACGTGGTGAGGATGGGCCCCGGGAAGGTGACAACCACGGGCGGCGGGTAGATGATGACCCGAGAGTCGCCACAGGTCACCACGCAGGGCTCGTTGGTGCTGCTGGCCAGAGGTTGGGGACACTTGGGCTCGCAGGGGGTGGCACAGGCCAGCTGGGTGGAAGCCATCGCCTGGTGGTGCTGGGGGAGAGCCTGTGGGGTTAAAAAAACGCAAAGAAAGGTCCAAAAGCGAAGCAAAGAACTCCTGGCAGCTCTTGGATGTTGCCTTTTGGGTCTAAGAGATCGTCGGAGGAAATTGGGATAGAGACAAAATTTGAGGGCTAGTTTATTGACATTTGGCCCTAAAAGATCGTCAGAGGAAATTGGAACAGAGACAAAATTTGAGCTTTGGTTTATTGACATTTGGATCTAAAACATTGTCAGAGCTAATTTGGATAGAGACAAAATTTGAGGGCTGGTTTATGGACATCTGGATCTAAGAGATGGTTAGAAGAAATTGGGATAGAGTCAAAATTTGAGCAATGGTTTATTGACATTTGGCTCCAAGTGGTTTTTAGCGATAATCGAAATAAAGACACGAGCCAAGGGCTGGTTTATTGACATTTGGCTTTAAAAAATCGTCAGAGAAATTTGGGATAGAGACAAAATTTAAGCGCTGGTTTATTGACATTTGTCTCTAAAAGATCGTCAGAGATAATTGAGATAGAGACAGAACTGGAGCTCTTGTTTGTTGACATTTGGCTTTAAGTGGTTTTCAGAGATAATCGAGATAAAGACACGGTCGAGAGCTGGTTTATTTGACTCTAAGTGGCTTTTAGAGGTAATCGAGATATCTCTAAAAGGATCTTGTGCTCCTAAACTCGGAAAAAGACGAGAGTTGAGCACTCGGCTATTGACATTGTAGGAGATAATTCAGGTAAGAACAAGAGCTGATCGCTTGTTTGTTGACATTTGGCTCTAAGTGGTTTTTAGAGATAATTCAGATAAAAACGGAATTGATCTCTTGGCTGATGACATTTCTTTTTAAGATCTTGTTAGGGATAACTGAGATAAAAACAAGAATTGCTCTCTTGACTATTGACATTTCGTTTTGAGATCTTTTTAGGGATAACTGAGGCAAAAACAAGAATTGCTCTCTAGGCTATAATTTCCTTTTAAGATCTTGTTAGGGATAATTGAGGTAAAACCAATAATTGCTCTCTTGATTATTGAGATTTGTCTTTAAGGGATCCTCGGAGTTAATTTGGATGCAGTTTTATCTCCCACCTTTAACTTTCCCCACCCGATTTGTTCTGAATTGCTGTTAATTTCCCCCTTCTCTCCTCCTCCCCCTGGAGCAGAACTCCTCCTCTTTTCCTCCCGTGCCACCTCCCAGCCCCGGCCCTTTGGAGGAATTCCTGAGGACGCGCTCGAACTCGTTCCCACAGCGCTCTGTTCCTCCCACACTTGGGGAAAAAAAAAAAAAAATCCGGATTTTCCACGTATTTCAGCGTGGAATAATCAGCTTTGCACCCTGCTTAATTTTTGTATTTTTTTCCTTGCAGATTCCCGTTGTTTTTTTTTTTTTTTCCCTCTGTGTTTTAGCACCAAAATATTCTGCTAAAACACAGGGGGAAAAAGCAAAAGGCTGAGAATAAGTGGGAGTGTTAAGTGCTCGTTTAATAAGCGAAACATATAATTAAAATATTTATAGAATATAAAATATATGTTAAATTATTTCTATGGTGATATAATCAAGCCAAATAAGAAAATTGCATTTTCACCTAGGGGAAATTAATTCAATAATGTTTATTTCTTCATGTTAAATCCTCACATAAAAGCCTGGTGTAGCATCAGAATATTTTTTTAAACTTGTAAATTAAATTTATCCTTTTGATAATTTAAAAAAAAATTCAAAAATACCCATGCAGGGCATTTTCCTCCGAATACCCTTAAGTGAGAACGCAGCACTGACCTACAGAAATGCTGAATTTAATCTCTGTAAAAGCGCTTTAGAATTGTAAATCACTTTTAAGAATTAGAAATGAAAGTTATTGGCACAGTTATGTTAATAATCCATAATAATCACTTAGTGTAGCTCGCTGTGGCTCCAATTAAATTAAGGATGAGCTGATCCAAGCAGCAGTAGAGCTGCACCGAGCTCAGTTCCAAGCAGGATTTTCCACAGTTTTCCATTAATTCCACCCTGAACCCTCTCCCCGATCGTGCCACGCAACCAAAAGCGAAGTTAAATCCATCCCCGAAACTTTCCCGAATATTTTTCAAGAATTAAAAGACTGAAATCCTCATTCTCCCATAAATCCCAAAAGTCCCGCTTTGACTTTCTCCCCCTTTGGCCAGCACGAAAAGCCCTCCTAAATCAGAACCGGAACATTCATGCAAAGCTCAGCCCCGATTTTGGGGAGAAATCCACTCCAAAAACAGAAGGAAAATTGAGGAATTTAGAGCCGAACTTACTCAGAGAGGCGGAATGGAGGAGTCGGGAGAGGCAGTGAGGAGATGCCAGGGTGGAGAGGGGATTTATATCCTGCCCCGATGGCCGGGGGCGGCTGAGCCACCCTTTGCTAAAGCGCTTTAATGACTCGGGAGCCGAGCCCGGTGCAGGGATCGCTGCTGGAGCCGCAGGAATTGTTTTGCTCGCTGTTTATGATTATCTAAAGCCGCGTTGGGCAATAACCCCAAAAATGCAGGTGGCAACTGGCCAGGTCTTTTCATCTCGGAATTTCCTGCTTTTCTGCTCCCGGTTTCATTAAGAGGTGAAAATGCAGCGAGAATTAATGAGGTTTTTTAGATTATCTTGGCTGAAAGCTGGAGCGCGCAGGGAATCTTGGAGAGCCAGGGTGATTTTCATTATGGAAGCAAAACCTGACACAGGGAATTGTGGCCGTTCCTGGTTTATCAAATCTGGGATTCTTTCCCATAATATTAATTGGATTTATGGGTGTGCTCCTAAATCAGGGGAAGAAGCTGCTGCAAAGCTGAAGAGCAAAGCTCGGGGTTATCTTTGGAATAAAAACGAAGCCGTTCATGAATTATGCCAATTGTGAAGTTTAAAATGAGGAGCTTGATGAAACAGTTTCCATAATTTATTCTTTGTGAGGTCACAGCAGCCTGGATCCTCTAGGATGTCATTACCGTGATTACCACGAAATG